TAAACAAAAAATTACCATTGAATTTTATTTTAATAATTTACAACAGAGAACTATTAAAAATTGAATGGAGGTATTTATTGACCTGATTTTCTTAAATATACTGTTATTTTTTATTTGCTTATAAATACTAACAAAAAATTTTCCAAATATATTTTTATTATAATATAGACTATATCCATTTTCATTTCTCATGAAACAAAATATTGAATATCAAATAGATATTTATTAGAATAGATTCTCTTATTTAAATTGACAAATATCATATGAACTAATGATTTAGTTATAAAAATTTAAATAAGATATTACTACATAGAAAGAAAAAATCTTTAATAATTACGTAAATGATTGATATAATTTTCTCACGCATATTTAAAAAATACGCAATATCCAACAGTTTACTATTTCAGCAATAATTATTCTTTTCCAAATACGTTTTTGAATTTTAGTTGTAATCGTTATTAGTGACTTGAGTTTTTGACATAGTAAATTGGGACAAAAAGTCGAAGATAGAATTTCAATGTAAACTTAAAACATGCCGAACCAAAAATCGTATATAGTAATTTACTTAAGGATCAGTGAAAATTTTTACATCTTTAATTAATTTTTCATTTCTATCATTTGATTACGAAATATTAATTTATTACTTCTTCTCAAATTATAAGAATCATTGATCTGTAATGTACATACTTCACTGCAATATTCAGAACATTTAAATTGGTAGTTAAACATTACTAATATCTTACCCTTTATTTTCACCAAGAATTAGACTTTCATCCGTTAGCCTTGAAGATCTATTGATAAATCTATTATGTTCAACGTATATTTTCAAATTATATTATCTTTTAATTGTATGTTACAATAGTTTCAAACTAATATAATTATATCTGATTTGTTTATCAATCTTTTATTTTAAAACAATTGTTAATAAATATCAATTTAATTTAACGATATTTGAAGATGTAAATAATGATACCAGAGATTCTACTAACAAGTTATATACCAACATTGGTTATTTTATTTTGTACAAATTTCATTTAGTTTTCCTTCAACAATAAATTAACATATTATATAAAATTCAATTTTAAAAAATTTTATTGAGATCAATATTAACCAAATTTGTTATTTGAAAATTAAGCTAATAATAAAAAATATTAAATATTTCTTATTTTATTTAAAAAGTGGAAAGCAATACTACTTGCAAATTATAAAATATATAATTAAAAGATTTTATTACTCATTATTTATACATTTCAATGTTTTTAAAAATCTAAGCAAAATTAATTTATAGAAATATAACATTTACCTTTCGTGAACATAAAATTGAAAAATAAATAATACATTATAATTAATAAAAAAAGTAGTTTGATAAAATATAGATTAAAACTAAAAACATTAAAGCGATATGTTGTAATTAAAATTTTATTATTAATAAAAAATTAAAGAGTAAAAAATGCAAAGTATAATAATCAACGATTTTAATGTATCTATTATAATTTATAAACTTTTAATAATCTAAAACTAAGAAAATCGCTGGAGTTATTTTTTTTCTTTTTCTCTTAGAATCATGATAAAAAGTGACTATTGTAATGAATTTCTAAATATTAGAAATTCATAAATAATAGTTACAACCAAACTAACAATATACGATCAAATAAATAAAAATAAAATTTATGTATGTTTATAAAAATGTTGGTATCATCTTTTCTCTAAACAAAAAAGCTATAAAAGAATAACCAAAGTTCGTTGCTGCTGAAAATTAAATGTTTGTTTTTTCACTGACAAAAAGACAAGGAAATTTTGTCAATTTAACAACGATAAAATGATATATCGTTAAATTAACAAAACTTTATTAATCGTCTTACATTTTTACAAAGCTAAAGATTTTCTTTTATGTAAAACATCGTCGAATTCACTTGTACTTGTGTTATAACTGTCGTATTTCATATTTGTTTGTGGAATAAGTTGATCATGCACATCGTAAGTAGGCTAATTATCGCTCTTGTTTTGCTTTTTTTGTTTAACTTATAATCGCACGTATAATCCGTTGTACTTAATATTCGATCGACAATTATACTATCGCCCATATTTTCATTCATTGCAAATCCCTCCAAATAAGTATATACGTAATTTTCTTAAGATTTTTCTCTTTTATTGAAAAAAAGTAGTCATCTGAAACCTGAAAACACTTCTAAAGAAATAAAAAAGAAGAAAAAGTAGATAAGATATTTGTACAGCGAAGGAAAAAAAATGATTCTCACATTTCGAACATCGATGGTAAATTGGTTTATAAAGCACTAAAGTTTTAATCGCACTGGAAATTTTATTTCTCACTGTCGATTGCCCTATTACTCCCCCTTTCCTTTTTTATAGATGTTTAATTTTGTTTCTTTTAAATGCACTCTTTAAAACCCCGCAATGTTTCCACCTTTCGACATAACAAAATAAAATAATAATAATATTAATAAATTTATACACACACACACACACACACATATATATATATATATATATATATATATATATAAAGAAGAAAATATTCTAATGTACAGCCAGTTTGTATTCGACCACACTTGATTTAAATTAAGACAAAACTAAAAATCTGAATAGAAATAAAAAATGTAAATTACATTAAGTTTCTCCTTCAATATAATACACTAGCATGGTCGCAATATAATTATGCGTGCTTCAAAATAAAAATAAAAGAAAAATCAAAAATAAATAAAAAAGAAACAAGAGTGACAGTGTTCGTATTATCTTACATCCATCACAACTCATCGTCATCAAAATATTACAATATTTCGTACTGTATGATTTGCTTGATTCAATTATTTTTATCAATAATAATTTTAATAATCATCAATATAATATAATATAATATAATATAATATAATATAATATAATATAATAAAATAATATACTATAATAATAATAATAATAATCAATAAATTTATATTAGGCAGGTAAATTATTAATAATAATTATTATTATTATCGTAATTATAGTTTTTTTTAATATGTACAATGTTATGATATACGAAGGGGCCCCCGCCACCGTTTTGGCTAAGTTATTATTATAGCTATATATTTTTGTTGTACTGTACACGCACGGAGGTGGGGGTGGGGTGCAGAGTAAAAGAAGGGTGAAGGAAAAGAGAGACTCACACAAACTAAGGGAGAAATGAAAAGAGAAAATGAGAGAATTTTAGTAAATCATAGGGAGGCCCCCGAGTTTGTTTAATTTATTTTTTAGTTTCTCTCTTTGAAAAATTAATCAACAAGATTTTTTTCAGTATATAAACTCTCCCGCGTCATTATCATTACTAGTGAATTAGCAGCCTGTGTTCTTATGTTTTAGTTTTTTTGTCCATCACGACAGTTATACATTATTATCGTTTTATCCTTTGCCATAATTGCCCCCATTCAGCAGATAATTTAATATATTTGGTTGCGCTCGCTACACGTTTTTTCATGTTTATTTTATTTGTTTCAATGCGCTCCTTTCTTGTTGCAGTGTCACACACACAAACATACTTTTTGCCTCAAGCCCTTCCTTCTTGGTTTTATGTATTAATATACGCCGAAAATATGCCTAAGCTAATCGAATTTGTTTTTATTTTTCATTCGTAATAATCTTGTAAAATTTTCTTTATATAATAGTTACTATAAAGTTGACGGTCCCGAGATGGCCGTTAGATTCATTAATCTATATACCATAGCTCATTTGCGCTAGCATGCTTTTTTCTTATCGTTATTTCTCTACCCATTCACCCACATACATACAAACATACATACATGTACTCTCTCTTCCCTATCTCTCTCTTTCTCGCTCTAGCGTTGTTTTTCGTCATATCTGTAATATGGATTATCGATATTAATTTTATATCGCATTTTTCTTTGTTTAATAACAAATTACCTTATTATCTAACACCTTCATTTAATAAATCTGAGCTTGAAACCTCATCATTTTAATTAGTTAATATTTTCTTTCTCACGTCACATTTCATCCACAAATTGTTCTTTTATTTAATTATCTATTCTCACCAGCTTAATTTAAAACATTACAATACATGGATTGGTGATTCTATTATCCATTTTTTTTTAAATAATTGTCTTCTATCGTCATACAAGAAAATTTCATTACCTATTTAGTTTTGCATTTCTGTTTGTCACAATAATATATAATACATATACGTAATGGTAATAACTGCATAATTGCTACAGTAGTATTATTTTTGTTTTTCTTTCATCATTCCTCAAATAGCAATAATTAATTATCGTTAAGTATATATAACACATGGAACGCTTTTGTTTTAAATCTTCACTCATGTAATCAGTAGTAGCAAGAAAAATAATTTGTGTATTTACAAGAAAAAAAAACATACGAGGATACTATCTAGATATAATAAAATTGCTTGCTTGCTTCTGTGGTGTAAGTGCATTTTATTAATTTCTATCGTTTCTTCACATGTTTCAAGAAGTAGGATGAAAGGATACAATGAGGGGCAATAACGTGTGATTATTACATATGAAAGTATGAAAATTCTATTAAAAGATTTTACATGTGTATATATAAATATGCATGCATGTTACTTATATACATATGTATATACACACATGTATAATTTTTTAATTATTTATGAGTGCAATACATCATCAATATTGCGCACATTCCTCGTATGTTTTATACTTCTCGTTAAAAAGCTACTACAGAAAACTAATTCGCCCAGTGTTTGTTCTCCTTTTGACACACACGCACGCTTACAAATATGTATATATATATATATTAATATGTTATATATATATATATATATATATATATATATATTAATATGTTATATATATATATATATGTATACATATGTATGTAGATACATGTATATGATACATAATACACTTGCACACATATCTATCTACACACACACACACACACACACATATATATATATATATATATATATATATATACAGTCACCTAATATAAACGATACGCATATAGCCACATACCATGCGCGCGCAATGCGTGCCATACATAAATGTGCGTGCATCTAGAATGTACTCATTCCCTTAAACACCATACACGTGTGAATGTGCACACATGCATATGTATAAATGAGGATTTCGGCGTATCATCAGCAGCATATAAAAGTAGTGATAAAGAGAGAGAAGGGGCGTCCGATTATCAAAGAGAGGGAAGGTTATGGATGGGTAGAAGGAGGGCGAGGGTGAGATGAGGAGACAACGAGAGATAAAAGGGCAAAGCTCCTTTCTTCTCTCGTGTTCTTCCGTTTCTCCACCGGGTGCACTCCGCCAGCGCCACCTTCGCCAAATCCGCAACTACCGCAGGCGATACACTTATCACAGGGTTGCTCGCATCAGCCACGGCAGACGCATTTCACTACCCGGGGCCGCTCGGCAGCGCCACGAGGCACGTAAGTCATTAAAAATTGTCAAGGCAGCGGTTAACAATCACTACAAACCCTCTACGAACTTCGAGAGCTGGTCTTGTGGCGTCATGGGCGTAACGTCGTTGGCATCCTGGGCTCCAGAAGTGCCACCCGGAGCCGCCGGTGAAGGATGATGAGGCATAGTCGATGGGTGCTGGCCGGGGCCACCAGTTGCCGTTTGAGATCCGGGGCCACCCGGTGCCTGGCCTAACTGCGAGAGCATCATCTCACTGGGACCACTGAGTTCGTGGGCCGGTGAATGGGTGGGTGTAGGAGGATGGCCGGTTCCGGCCCCGCCCAAATGGTGTGGCGAAGGCACCGGATTCGCTCGAGGCGAGGGCACTGGTTGATTGCGAGGTGAGGGTACCGGTCGAGGCGAAGGATTCGGTTGGGGTGAACGAATTGGTGGCGGCGAACGCACTGATTGCATCAGCTGTTGTTGGACGGAAGAGATCCCGGGGGGTCCCATCACGCCCTGAGGCGAGGGTACCGGCGGTGGCGTCGGCTTCAAATTCGGCTGGCCATACGCCTGTTCGTTGAAGCCGCTATAACCTAAGAAATGGTAACAAGATAGTCGCATTGACAAGTTAGCTTTAATTTAACAATGCAGAAAATCGTATTAAATGAATAATGTATACGTAATTCATCTATTTGCCTTTTATTGAGATAAACATATATATATATATATATATATATATATCTGTTTTTAGTAACTCAAAAATAATTTTTAACAATTCAAAATGTAAGATATTGTATTAAATGAATTGAAATTATATCTATATGAAGATTTTATAGTTATTAAAAATATGAAATCATTATTAGGTTATTAGTAAGTAAATAACTATTCAAAATATGAAAGGCTATATCTTACCCAACATAGGTGGCCTGATAGGTCTTTGTTGGCCATAGGGTGGAGCGGAAGGCTGCGTAAAGGTTTGCGAACCGGCAGCAGCAGCTGCCGCAACCGCTGCCTGTTGCTGGGCTGCTGCTTGTTGCTGTCTTTGTATGAGAAGCATTTGCTGCTGTTTGTACCATTGTTGCTGCTGCTGCTGCTGGACACTAGGTGCCTGTGGCTGTTGACCCTGCTGCTGTTGCTGCTGATTTAACATTGCCTGTATTTGCATCCGGGCCTGCTGCGTTTGCTGCTGTTGTTGCTGAGGTGTAATCATATGCAGTCCAGGTTGTTGTTGTTGTTGTTGTTGTTGTTGTTGTTGTTGTTGCTGCTGCTGTTGCTGCTGTTGAGATTGACTAGGACCTAGCGGTCCCGCACCACCTCCGTGCTGGCCCGGCTGTTGCTGAAATGCGAGCACCTTTTGTCAATTGGAGAGAGATCGAATAATTTTAATTATATTAATAGACATTGGTTTTTTCTTGCAGGTTAGCTACTGATATTATTTGATGCTGGAGAAACCTTAATAAGTTAAGCTCATTGTTAGAGATATATTGATTTCTGTGATAGAATTTGAATTTGAAAATCAAATGGATTATTATGTTATATACAAAAATACTAAAATTATTGAAAATCGTTATTTATGCTACAAATTACAATGCTAGAAAACTATTCCTATTAAATAACTCTCAAATACTTTAGAACTATGTAAAACATTTGTTAAAATATCCAAATACTTAATTTTTTCTGCTTTCACTTCATTTCACAAAACTTTCTAAACATCTTTAAATATAGTACTATAGAGTATTAATTAATATTTTATGTACAAGATATTTGGTAGTATTTTCTTAGATTTAATTATTATTATTAAGATGAAAATATTAACATCTATACATATACTATATAATGTGTACTTTTAATAATCACTAGTAATAGTAACCATCAATAAGAATGATAAAAAAGAGTAAGGGAAATACACTTACTGATCGTTGTTTAAGAAAGGCAGCCATGAGAGCTGGGTTGCTCTTGAGTATACGGAGTATTTCACCCTGTTGATCAGGATTATTTGGGCTGCGGAGAGTTTGCATAAGCTGCTGTAGAGCTTGCTTCCCAGCTGCATTTTGTCCCACTTGACTTGTTGGAACTCCAATGACACCAGGCTGCCTGGACATTTGGCTACCCATACCGCCTATTCCCGGTTGGCTTTGCTGCTGTTGCTGCTGTTGTTGCTGTTGCTGAGGCTGCTGCTGCTGAGGTTGCTGTTGTAGAAGTTGCGGCGCTTGCTGCCTTAAGCTTGGATTCTGCTGCATCACTGCGTTCGGTTGATATCTAAAATTTAATGTATTGCTACGCCCCCAACAATATATTTATTAATATATTAAGAATATATTCAATTTTTAAAGTGGTAAATGTAAAGAATATTTATCTATGTGATGAAAAAAATATATTATTACAAATACTGATATTCTTTATTTGATCTTAATTGTTTTGTTCATTATTGATTTTGTATTTATACTAATTAATACTCTAAGTTATAATTTGCTCAAATTTTTAGTTTGTAATTTGATACTAATATAATAGTTTACATTGTACGAATAAATATCTTAAACAAATAAAAAATCAAAAAGTTACTGTATGTATAATCGACAATTACCTGGGAGTCCATTGATCCATGGATATGAGATGTGTGCCACCTGCATTGGCCATTTGCACTGGCATAGGCCTTTGCATCTGGGGTGGTGGCATAACAGATCCCGGCTGCCCAGTGACGCTGACGCCTACGCCGACGCCTACACCGACACCAACTCCAGAAGGTGCAACTTTGCCGTATCCGACGTGAGGCGCCTGCTGTCTTGCAGCTTCTTCTTGCACCTGTTTTACAACCTGAAGCACATGCGCGGGTGGAGTCTGTGGTCCTGGTTTCATACCAATACCCGGTTGGTGATGTGGTGAGGGTAGTGAAGTTGGACTAATGCCGGGTTTCATTGCTACACCTGTCGACATTGAAGGATTCGTTGCAGGCGGGCCAGACTGGAGACCCGACTCCGAGCCTGTCGGCCGTGTGTTGGTCATCACAGCCATTCTTCGCCTGTGAAAAAGGATAATTAATATTGTTTTACATAGCATTATAATACGAGAAGTTTAAAAATTTTAAGTTGTACAATATATATTTATAAAATAAAAATAATATTGATAAGGCAATATACCAGCAAACAATTTTCAAACAAGTAAACACCAATAAATAAAATTAAATAACATTGAAAAATATTGCACTTTTGAAAAAAAAACTTGAGTGAATATTTTTTTCAACTCATATGCAGGACGTAATATTTTAAAAAACAACTAGACCTGAGCAACTGAGCCTGCTGTAGACGTTGATGATGCTGTTGTTGTTTTAACTTATGCTTAATATTATAGCAGAATGGCACTGGACACTTGGCCTCTTGACAATGTCTCGCATGATGACAGCAGAGGGCTACAAGTTGTTTACAAATAGGACAGCCACCACTTGTCCGTCTTTTGCACGTCTTTATATGCGTCACAACCCTCTTCATTCTCTGGCAACTTGCTAATCGACAGTTAGCGTCTTTGCATTGGCATGCATGTACCAATGATTGTATACACCTTTGAATCGAAAACTTTCGTGCTTCCTGTAATTACAATAGTAGTTTTACAAGCAAATATTTAATTGCAGGTCTTTTAGTTTAATTTTTTTTAATTAACAACGTAAAATAAAGAATGAGAAACATGCTCTTTCATATTAAAAAAAGAAAAACGTATAAATTCAAACCATTATTTCTTTAACTTATAAAGGTATAAAAATATAAAAACGAAAACTTATAAATTAATTTTTAAAAGTTAACATTAATTATTATTTTTATTGGATTAAATAAAATAGATTATTTTATTAAAATTAATATTCAAATTACACAACTAATTATTGTTATTTTATCATCAAAATTAACGTAAAGAGTGAATTGAATACTTTTAATATTTTAAATACAAAAATAGAAAGATAATACTAGTATTTTAAAACTGATTTTTAACATTACAATATATTTATAAATCGTATTCAAATCTATCAAAATTAAAATATTTTAAGAAGTATAACTTGAAGATAATTAATAATTAATTTAAAAGTTCTGAATATTTTTTATTAGTAATAAATCCTTGGAATTTAATTACGTATTAGATAATAAATAAGAAGAAATAAACGTAATAGTTTAAAATATATTTTAAATATTAAATAGAAAGTACATACCTGGGGATTAACTTGTTTTGCATCGGCCGGCGATGATCCATCATCCAAGTCCAAACCAAGTTTTTCCATAACATGTGGATGACCTTCTTTTTCTTTACAACTTAGACACAAATCGAAATCCTACAAATAAATATTTTACATAAAAAAAACCCTAACTTGAAAATTATTAATATTTTATATATAGAAATACTGAGATATACTATTCTATACTTACATCACATACAGTACAATGATACCTCGTTTCGACGTGACTTTTACATTTATTACAATTATACACAAATTTATCTGAACCTTGATTGTGCAATTCATACAACATAGACATCGAACTGAATTTTGCTCTCCTAAGTGATGAGAATTCATAATGTTTTTCTTTTGCCATTGTAAGAAAAGCATCGCGTCCGTCCATTAAATCGCAATTAAGAACTGGATCCGTATCTAATATTGCCTATACATAAATATGTGTATTTAAAAATCAAAACAATTTGATATCTTTTATCGATTGTAAATTTGAAAAAATTGGTTTTTTAATAATCAATTATTTATATACTATTGTATATTTTTAGTAAAACTATTACTTAAGAATCCTGTTTTAGAAAACTTTCGATAGTTTATTCAAGTTAATATATTATTAAATATATAATATTATATGTATATTATAAAATATTTATATTATATAAATAAGAAATAGATGTAAATAAAAACTAACCCCTAAACTGGCTGCACTTTGAGCACTATGAAGTCTAATAACAAAAAATACTTCTTTATGCTTTTCCATTGTAGCAAAAATTTTAGCAGAAAGATCATTTCCAGTTTGAGGAGTATTAGACTTTTTACTATTTTTTCTTTGATTCGCTTTAGATTTATTAGACTTTTTTGCCTTCTTCTGACCTTTCTTTTTACCATCTGGACCCGTCTCAGAATCCTCAGAAAGTGAGAATATCTGAAAATTATATATCTTAATAGTATGTAAAAATTAAACCGTCAATTTGTTTTTTAAACAATTAATTTAAGTCAAGTTCATTATTTATAATACTTAATTTTTTATTTAATAATTTTCCTTAATTTAATATACTTTATCCTTACATATTATATTCATAATATGTACAAACTTGTAAATAAATTTAAGTATTAAATAATAAGTATATGTGTAATGTATATATTTATAGTACAAATTTGTACAGCAAAAATAAAAAGTAAAACAAGTTAAATAGAGGAAGATATTTAAAATTTTTCAGTATATAATATTTAAATTTGATAAAATAATTAGTTTTAATCATAACTATTTTTATTTTAATAATAATTTTGTTACTATAAATCTTAACTGATTAATAACTGTTTTGTTAAATACTTAACAACTTACAGCATTAGCAGCAGCCGCGGCTTCCGCAGCTTCAGCCTGTTTACGTTTCTCTTCTTCTTCTTGATTCAATTCCTTTATACTCTCTTCTAGAACATTAGGCCAGAAATCACCTTCAAAGTAAGGTAGATCAGCAGCAGATGATAATTTATCCTCCATTGCTTGTTTCAAAATATCCTGTAAAATATAGTTTACATAATAAATTATGAATGCAAATGAATAAAATAAAATAAATATGTTGTCCATTTATCCTATGTCCAAATTTTATTATTTAATAGGAACATTAGCTTATGTATAGACAATTATTATAAGTCTCATTAGACACCCTGAATGAAATGAGTTTCAGATAGGTAACACTGAGACTAATGCTTTATTTTGCAATATAAATTAACTAATTCATAATTTAACTAATAATGTATTAAAATTATTCTAAAGGTATTGCTTTGAATTATTATTATTTCCAATCAATTATGAAGATACATAACGTTATATGACTACTCACTTTATAATCTAATACAATTCTTTCAACGATACCCTTGTCCAACATTTTTTTATACCATTCTTGTAGTCTCTTGGGTTTTGGGATTTTTTGATCTGCAGGATGACAGTGAAAAATGTAGTCATCTCCTTCCGACGGTGGGCACGCCCAAATATGAGCCATTGTATAACTAAAAATAAATTCCAAATATTAACTAATTAATTTGGTATCATTAGTAAACTGATTTATTTAACAAGTTAATAATCTTTTTTAAGAAGTTAATAGAAAATAAATTTGTCTGCACCATAAAAGTATCAACATAATATTTATAAATATTTATTAAAATAATAAAAACAAGTATCGAAAATTAAAACGTTTACATATATGTACACATAAACTCTATATAATAATGCATAGTTGTGATCGTTATTTTTAAATCAAGAGAAATAGGCTTTCACAATATTACATATAGAAATTACATATAGAATTACATATAAAATTTACATATAGAAGTTAAAAAAACTAATATTGAATTAAAACAAAGACTGTATCCAAATTATCCAAAAAATCATGCTATATAAATGATGTATTAAAACATTTTATACCAATTCAAAACTTCATTTTATGACTAATTAAAAAGAACTAAAACTAAAGTGTTCTTACATCAACAATAAAACAAATAAGGTCTCACCCGAGCTGTTTAGCATAGTCAAGATATCCGAGAAGAATCTCGTGATAAACGGCAGTCCTAAATTGCCTAGGTCTGAAGAAGTGCACAGAGTCGAGATAAGCAATATACACCCGCCTCGTATTCGGAGGTGTGCACTCACTGCCATACTCCTGAACATGCATACCAAAGAAGCAGACATCAGTGCCATCGACTTCCTCAAAGGCGAATAGAGCCTTTGCTCGATAGGGAAACTCGCCCGACATGTCACCATTCTCAACAAAACGACTCCTCATTCCTGGTTTTACCTCCACCACTTTGTCGCTTGAGGCAACCACACGTATCGCTACCTCACCGGCACCTGCCTCTTTCTTTTTAAGGAAATTATTTACCCTTGTCTCAATGTATGTGCCAAGCTTTGTCACAGGTAACCGCTTAGCACTGAACTTGTTGTCCTTTCGTTTCTGTCCTTTTTTTTTTAAACAATTATCACAGGTGTATCTAAAAAAAATAAAATAAAAATAATAATAATAATAAACCTCTCTTCCAAATAATACGTATAATAGATAAACGAATTGATAAATATATATACATACATGTATGGATGTAAAAGGAATAAAAAAATATTTGTCACTTTAAAAATAATGCAATATTCGATATTATGGTATGTTATATTAAATACTATTCCGATGTCTTTATAAAAATATTTTAACGATTTAATTAAATTTAATGCATAAAATTATTAATGGTAGTTATATATATTACATTTTTTTTAGATTCAAATCATTCTCAATTTATTTTATCTTCAGTGCTTTATTACATATTATTTATTTCATATTAAATAAAAGAAAACACAATTGATATGTATACAATTTATGTTAAAACTAAAATATTCAATGCTTAAAAATAAAATAAATATTACTTTTTACATTAAATTTAATATATATTAACATTTTGTTCAATGAATGTTTTAGATTGATAATTATCCTTATAGTTCATGTATAATTAATATGAAATATTCAAAAGAATTTTTCCAATACAGTCTGTTAGTTAATATTTTCAAACTTACCCTGAAGGCCAGATAGCTTCCATATGTAATACACATATTTGATGTACTTTTCTCCCACAATCTGTACACATAACAAATGGTTCTTGTTCCAAGTGATCATTTTTCATTTCTTGGAATTCTTCCTTTTTGATGACACTAGAGAAATGAAATAATCAATTTAATAATATTATCTTATTTGATAATAATATTAATTTTATATTTGAAAATTAATTATGTAAACTATAATATGCATTCAATTAAATTTATTTTAAAATAAATTAAATAATTTTATTGAAAAATCTTATATTTATGTTCCATATTGAAAATGACTATTTATTTATTAAATAAAAATTACATTCGGTTAAATAAAAAAATTTCAAATAAATAATTTTAAAAATATTTTATTAACATTATTAAAAATCTTCTCTTTATTAAATATTAAATTAAAAACTTACGTTTGTGGCTGAGTCGGATCATCCCCTAACGTTACCGTATCGCCGGGAATGTCGTTGAAACATTTTTGACAGAAGGTGTATCTGTCAGAAACAAGACCATACGACTTTACACTATTTGTATGAAAATCCATATCCAACATGAAGGGGTTTTTGGAACATTCGGATTATTTATTTGTTTTATGGAGATATCCATATTATGGATAATCATATTTGAGTAGATAAATCAACTCATATGTCCAGCGAAAAGTGTCCAAATTTTTTTATTTACAATAATCCACATTCGTTGAACGATAAATGTGTGGATGTGCATTATTTAATTTTGTGACGATTGTTTTTTGATTATTAATTGATAAGCAGTCGTTACATATTTTTTAAATTTTATTTCATTAAATCATCAATTTCATCAAATTAATGATTATTTTATGTAATTTTACGATTCCATGGTAATTTGTTTTGTCGGTAATTGTTCAGTCATTCATCCGAGTGTCCAAGAACCAATTGATTTGCGATCGATGGCGAAGAGGTTGTGGTGTAAGGACAAGCAAGAGAACGCAGGCAACACAAGAAGCAAGCGGCAAACACGGATTGTTGTGTGTGCATGTGTGCGCAATCCGTGGAGGTAGTTTTTGAAGGAGGATACATACAAAGAAGAGAACAATGGTGCCATGGTTAGAAAAAATAAGTTTTAAAAAACATAAGTTAAATGTTATATACACAAAAAAATTAATGACAAATATAATTTTTATATAAAAAATTTATATCGTATATTAATACAGATGATAATAATGATTAATATATATGAGGCAGTCGATCTCAAAACTCTTCAAAGTGCATGAATTATAATATATGTTCATAATAATAAATTGTTTGACAATTATATACATCAATAACATTGAAATATTGAAAATTACTAAAACAAAGGATTGTATTATAAATATAATTTAAAATATAAATAAATTAATTTATTGAAATTTATTATCAGTTTATTTTAATAAATAATGTAAAAGTCATTTATATAAAGTAAAGATCGAATATAGTAAATAGACCATTTGGCAATTATTTATAAAGGTAAAAAATAGTTGATACGCAAGGCGATTAAATTATTACAAATATTTTTTAGATATTTTTGAGAAATATTTTATTAAAGGAATTAATAGAAATACAACAGTAATAATAAAATATTTACGGAAATGTTGTATATTCATATATAAAACCCATCTAGAATACTAATTACCATACTTAATTTGAATCACCACTTTTTAAACTTCAAAATTTTTTAAATAAATACGCCTCAACTATATTTTTGACTAAAAAACTGACATTTAAAATTGATTTGAAAACTTTTAGTTAAAATTAGAAAAATATGCCATTTTATATTTATAAAATTATTCTATAAGTAAAATAAATAAAAAATAGACATAAATATATACATTATGAATTTAAACTAAGAGAGTTATATTAATGTATATGTAAGATAAAAAGTTCAAACAATGATCAATTTTCATCTGATTAATACACAATAACAAAAATTATGTTATTTAACGATAAGTTTAAAGAGTATTTTTAATTATTTATCAAAACTTAGATGGACATTAAATTTAAATCAATTAAAACAAAATAAATACAAACTTTACACGTATACTTTTAAATACAAATGTAAACAATCCTATTTAATTATGAATATTTTTAAATTATTTGATGAATGGTAAATAAATAAATGACAATGCATAATCATAAAAACTGTCTACAAAAAAAAAATGTTCCACAATCATGATCAAATGATTAACTAATGATAATGAAAAGCTGTTTGTTAATTTTACTATCCAAAACCTTAATTTATAATGCAAGAAGTATTTTTATGTTTATTCTGTTTAGTGTAATGAGTGTATGAAACCAATGAAATTGATCTTAATACATTCGATAGATAATACAAATAGCCCATGCTAGCTAAATAAACCTAAGCAAATTCGGTTAATTAAATTAGACTTCTAAATTAATTTGATATTCTAAATTTTTTAGTATTTTTTACCACATTCGCTTCAAGTCAAATTCATTGAAATGTACTGAAGTCTAAATACCAAATAAAAAAATAAACAATTAAATTGTTTATTTTATTTTAATCTGTTCTATTATATAAAGCAGAAAAATGATATAACTTCAACATTATTTTTCTCGTACATCATTTATTCGTTATTATTATTGTAAAACATTGAAAAAATTTGTTATTTGATACATTTTTAAATGTTTTCTGACTACTCATTAATATTAGATAAAATTCAATAATTTGTACATTTTACATAATGAATAATTTAGGTATCTTAAAAACTGAATGTACATGTGTAACTGTACTGACCTGTTCTGGTATGAATAATACTTTGCATCTCTGGGAATTGTACACAGCTGTTTACCATAACAGCAAAGTACTTGAGGATTGAACGTATACTTTCTGCCACAACAGTATCCAAGTGCTTGCATCACAGGATCAATTTCTTTTTCAAAGACTTCCGATAACTTAATAAATGTACGTTTAGTATTATTATGGGTTATTCTATTTAATATTTATTATTAGTAAAATTAAATTTAGCTTAAACTAGTATCAAAATTTATATATTGTCAAAATACTCAATTCTACATTTAATATCTACATCTACCTATTGAGAATATAATAGTTGTTTAATGCTAATAACATTAACTTTTTAACATTTTTACTTATTATCATATAATCTTACATTTTTTTATGTAAAATATTTTTAGTAATTTTTTTATTTACTTAACAAATTGAAAAATTTATGAGAAAGCCACATTATTTCAATGATACAATTATTTTAACTGTATTTCTCATTAATAAATATTAATTAATAAAAATTAATAAATATCAATAATTAATCCTTGTTAATTGATATATAATTAAAGTACAAATATAATGTCATTAACCTTTGTACAATATCTATAAACTTTGGATGTCTTCCGATTATATAACCAGGCGTTTTCAAACATCATCCACACGTCATCAACATACTGCCAGGGATCACTGTATTGTCCAGTATCGAGTTTTCTTTTTATTGTCGACAAATCCATTGGCTTCTTGACAATATCAAAATAATCCGGTATGCCAAGAGCTTGGGGATCCACAGGTTGCCTGAAGGGCAGCGACTCAGGATCCTGCCTGTAAAGTTTTTCAAGGGTGGGCATGAGCGCCTGTCTCAGCTCATCGGGCTTAAATAGACAAAGAGGTTTCTTGTCGGTCGAACTACCACTGGGCGGTATCGGCTCTGGCATCGCTGATTTTATGTCACTGCTTGATGATTCTTGACTCATACCCGACACCATCTCCTCCTTAATACCCGATTCCTCCTGTAAATAAATTAATTTATTATTTTTCCATCTATTAATATAACTTATTTGATCATTTATGATCAAATCATTACAATTTTGTGTTTTAGGAGTTATTACTTGTATAGCACTTAAAAACTACATCAAGCTTTTTAAGTGACTATTGAGACTTAATAAAATACATTTATTTCATCATTTAAATACTATATTATGTATGTAATTTAATTGAATTGAGTTTCCTGTATTCTTTCGATACTTTTATATATTATTTTTTTTTCAGCTTGTCTGATTATTTCTATAATTTTAATTTAAAAATGTATACTTTCACGTAATATGAATGAATAGAAAATAGTATACTTATTTTATACTCTTAGAGAATTACACAGACATGATTTGACTTTATAAATTAATGTTCTAACAAAGATGAAACAAATAATCTATTAAAAACTATTACCTATAATTTAATAATAATTAAGTGATTCAATACTTAACGTTTCCAAAAGATAAGTAACATCATTACATAAATTTCATATTTATTCGAATGTAAATAATTCTAAATAAATTTAAAATTAAAATAAAATTTTTTTCCACTTAAGTTGATTGTTAACTAAAAGATAAGAGCAATTATTCTTCTTGCTGTCTAAATATTATTAGTAATAAAATACCAGCATCTTACCTTGATGTGACCAGTGCCAGTGGTACCAGGTTCACCAGAGCTCTCTTCCATAGGTTCTTGTTTGATTTCGTTCTTAATCTGACTGCTACTGGTCATATCGTTGTTAACGCTCTTACCACTGCCACTGCCAGCGTCCGAACGTCCACTGTGACCCTCGCCCGACTCCTCATGATCCATCTCCATTTTTATATTTGATTCCTCTTTGATTGTATCCAACTTGCCCTTGTTATTATTCATAAGAGGACTGGGAGAGTTATCATGGTCTAACGCAGCTGTGATTGCCGCCATCTGCGATGACATGGACGAACTGCGGGGAGCGTTAAGTGCAGCACGCTCCTGGGTGGTCATGCCTTTACCTAGGCCCGCTGGGGACGGAGTAGTACCGGGATGCGGTGGTGTTTGATTAGCATTTGTCACCACCTGCGAATGACATTTATAAATATTATCAGGTGTGCCATATTAATTCGTACATCACAATTAAATTAGTGCAATAATATTGATTATAAATATTACTTGTTAACCAATTTTCTATATCTTGTTATTTCAGAAAACTCCAATTAATTATGTATAAAATGTTTTATGCGATTTTCTCTTTTATTGATTCGATTTATAAATCATTTAATCCAAATTAGATATTATAAATTTACTTAAAAAATGAATTGCATAATTTTAGTGCTTATTAAACATTCATTTGAATAAATATATTTTCTTTATTCAAATAACTATTATAAATATTTAAAAATATATAAGTATTAAAAATATTTATAAATTAAGTATTTCAATTATGTATAAAAATATAATAATTTATAAAACTGAAAAGATTATAAAACTTTTTAATCTATTATTTAATTTTGTTCTTAAATTTGTTTAGATTGATTATTTATTCAATTTTCATTTTTAAATAAAAACTGCTACATTGACAATTTAACAAATGTTTTATATATTTAAAATTTTTTAAGTAAATGTTTTATATTATTTTATATAGTTAAGATTGCTTAAACTAGTTTATTATTGTATTGTACATGTTACAACTAGAAAATACCACGAATATTGTCAATTAATTACAGAACAATTATATCTTATTTATTAACTTAGTGATAAGTTATTCTTGTATTATCGTGAAAATCTAAATGATTTTATTTTGGTTAAAAAACTATTAAAATTTTCAATTTTATAAATTTAATTTTTAATAATCTTTTTAAAAAAATAATTAATGCTTCAATTTATTATTCAGAGCTTAGATAGAGTTCAAATATTTGATAAACTACAATTTTAGTATATTTATATAATAAATAGGTCTCACCTGCGAGGGCGTCATAAGTGATGGCACAAGTGGTGTGTTAGGCGTAGAAGTTGTCGATTGAGGCCCATTGGTGATGGGAGTAGTGCCTGGACTTGGGCCGCTAGAGGCTGGCGGCGGGATTGTCTGTGGAGTTGAAACAGTCAATCCGTTATCATTGGGCGTCGTGGATGTGAGCGGACGACTGCTGAGATATTGCTGCTGACTCTGTTGTTGCTGTATGACACCAAAGGGCGATGGCGTTTGTGGTATCGTTGTTGCAGCCACACTCTGACCTGATGTAGTTGTTGGTTGACTCTGCTGTTGCTGCTGTTGCTGCTGGGCTGCTTGTGCTGCCTAATTGATATAGTCAATAATTAATTTATATGTACGCAATCAATATATGTAAAAATTATATTGTCTATAGTATTTAAATACACATTTTATTGAATATTTTTAAAAACAAAATATTGTCTTTAAAGCGAACTTATAAATATATGTTATTAAATTATATAATACATTCTTCCAATAAAATGATGATTTTTAACATTAAACTAAGTCTGGATTAAAAAAATTAGTAAAATATTTTAAATAAAATTGATTCATAATTTTGTTGAAACTACCAACTTCTGAAAATTTCTTCTTTAATATTTTAATATTTCAATCTAAAATAATGTTATATTCTTTTTAATGCAAATAATCACGAATCAAATATATTTTATTCTGTATTGTAAATTAATTTTCTAATAAAATAACGAATTATTTTTTATACCTGAGCTTGTGCCAATCTGACTTTCATAATGTCGGTGAACTGACTTTGACTGTGAATGGGAGAACTATTTGATAGGCCTGTTGTACCGTTAGACGTTGGAAACTGACTAGTCGTCACGGATGCTGTTGTCGTAGTAAGATTAGATTGGGACATTTGTGGTTGACCAAAGGGACTCAGTCCTTGATTCGCCACCATATTTGAATTAGAAACGGATTGGCCGTTTGGACTCGGACCTGGTGGTCCTACCATCATGCTTTGTTGTTGTTGTTGTTGTTGTTGTTGTTGTTGTTGTTGATATAAAAATATTTTCAATGTTTTATAAGAAAAATTATTAATAATTATTTTTAGACTGAAAAATTAAAGATTAATTAATATTTTGCCCATTTGTAAAAATTTAATATTATATTTATTGTTTATAATTTTGGTGATTATATTATTACTGATATTTTTATAAAATGAATTTACAAATTCAATACTGTATCGAACAAATCATAGCTGTAATAATTTAACAAAATTAATATATTTTAAGTTAATAATAGCGTTTGCCGACATTTTAAATAATAATTTTTTAACTACAATAATTAAATATTAAGTCACATACTTATAAAACTAGATTAAAATGGGATAAAGCAACTCCTACCTGTGCTTGCTGGGCTTGGACTTGCTGTGCCTGCACTTGTTGTGCTTGCTGGCTAAACTGCATGCGATTGTGCTGCATGGCCATATTAGAGAGGCCAAGTTGACCCATACCTGGAGAATGACTACGCAATGTCGGTTGGACGGCACCGATGGGCCTCGGAACATTGGCGTTCATTCCTGGTGGAACACATGGCCTCAAACTTGGTCCAGGTGCACCTGGTGCTGGCGGTGGCTGTTGCTGCTGCTGTGCCTGTAGCTGCTGTTCTTTGCGCTTCTGACGTTTCTCTTCTATAATATATGACAAATAAAATAAAATGTATCACAGTTACAACAAAATATAAAAATATGCTAACGTTTTAAAGATATTTTTAAAGTATTATATATCATTTATTACAATATTAAAATTTGTTATATAAGTAAATGCATCATCCTACGCGAGCCACGAGTACCAATGATGCTCTGGAACAAATAGTAAAATTCATGCCTTACAATATATAATGAGAATCAATTGAAATATAATTGATATTTAAGTAAAATGCGAATCATGCCACACTCCATGTAAGACGCCGTTTCATTAATCTATTTTTTGAACATTAAAAAAAAATTAAGATAAAAAGAATAAAATTCTAATTAAAATCTCGTAAAGTTCCTCATTTTATATAATTCAAAACTATATTTAATAAATATTTCTTACCATTTTTTAAGAGAAATTTTTTAAAAAAAATATTGTAATTTTTTTGTATACTATATGCTGCACGTAATTGTATTGAAAATGATACTCAGAAAAAAAATTAAGTACTTGTGCAGAGATAAGGATAAGAAATTATATTAATTTGATAAATTTTAAAAATTTATAAAATACAAAGGTTGAAATAATTAAAAAGACAAAGATCTAACAATATCTAACTATATATTTTATATATGTATATATGTATGTATATGTATTTTTATATTTAAATATTTGTTAAAATATTAAATTTAAACATAAAAATACGCACCAAGTTCTTTTTGAATCTTGTAAATTTTTTCAGCTAGTAAATGATAGTACTCCGACCTCGAATTAGCCATTTCGTACATATCACCTTCAACTTTTCTGGCGTAGGCCACTAAATTATGCATTCTCTTATCCAACATAGCTTGAGGATCTGGAGTAGGGAATATTGCTTGAACTCTTAAAAAAAAAATTATGAAATTTGTTTATTTTATTTTCAGTGTATTTTATTGCTTTATATATATATTTTTTTTATATCAAAGTTAGTATTGGAATTTTTGGATTTCAGATAATATTTATAATTTATATAAATAACAAATTTTCAAATAAGTTTTATTAATCTGCAGTAATATAGTTATATAGTTATAAAGATTAGTGGAAATAAGAAATATTTTTTCAAAGCGATAAGAATTAAAACAACTTAAATTGTTATTGTTTAAGTCATTATATATCATTTATAATTGATTGTTTTTATTTTGCTTTATATTTTTAACTCATTTTATAAAAATCTTGAAACCTTACAGATACAATCAAGAATTGAAATATGTATTTCTCTATATAAATATTTTAATGTTAAATCTTTTATACCATTATTAAAACTAATAATTAACTGTCATTGTAATGTTAATTACAATAGTGTGTTATAAAGACGAATTGTTCAAATTAAACATATCTTGACAAAGATAATTATTAAAAACAAATAATGTATTATAATACGTGTTCAGACTTACAGTTTATGTACAAGATGGTTTCTCAGATCTGGCGTAACTGACTGGTGCCATTCCTTGGTTCCCTGAACAGGTGTAGCAGTGACCTGGCCAGGCTGTAAACCCGCTGGAAGTTGGAGACTGGAAATTCTACTGGTCTCGTTCATGAGACTTCCGGGTTGTCCAGACTCACTTAGCCCAAAGAGTTGCTGTTGAATATTGGCAGCGGCGGCCGCTGCTGCGGCCGAGGGCTGGTTGCCGCCCGCACACCCAGTCCCACTCGTTGGAGTTGACTGGCTAGCAGCGGCAACAACAGCGGCCGAGGTTACCGAGGACGGATCTGAGCTTAGTGGCAACGAGACATTCGGAGCGACAACTTGTTGCGAAGCGCCAACCACCGACTGACCTGGACCACCTCGATTAGGCGTTTAGTGCATGAATTGTTTGGAAAATTAAATTATGAACGCATTATATTATGGAATGTAAATAAATTGTGCCACCTTTGCTTTAATAAGAAATTATTGAAAATACATAGTATAAAATATTAAGAATTATTTAAAGACTACTAAAATTTAGTGTATTTTAAAGCCATACTTTAAGTGGAAAAGTCAAGTTTTCTATCTAAAAAATAGCAATAGTTACATGTTTTTTCGAACGATTTACTCTATCTATTCACTATTTCCTATTCATTTATTCACTCAATTTATAAAAGAATTATAAATATCTCTAAATTATTAAAATAAATAATGAAAGATATATAATCATGACATGTTTAGTATTCATGGTTATTTTATTAAAATGATTAATCTACGTACTATGAATGTAAATATCAATAAAAACACGAAACGAAAATGAGTGGCCATTTTAACATAAGGCTGTGACCTTTTATTACAACAATACTCGAAGAAGGTTGATGTGGCATTTTTAATTCTTTTTCCAGTGATGTTGATGAAAAACATTATACCTGTGGCTTCGCGTTGAGCAAGCCTCACGTTGGTCATGGTGTTAGGTTGGGTTGGTATATTGGGTGTCGTCATCCTAACGCTCCGACCTACACTCTGAGCTGGTATGAGACCTGGCTGTGTTGTTGGCGGTACGGCGATTCCGAGAGCGTCATATGCTCGCCTCATGTCCGACGGGCTGGGACTAGGTTGGTTGTTTGGCTGAGTCGCCGCAGCTGTAACGCGCTCACGGTTTAATGCTTGTCGTTGGCCTTCTATACGGCGACATGTATTATAAATTAGTTTCTATTTGACACATTCTTTGCCTACGCACCACGTACTCTGGTTTTTTAGTGCAATGTTTATTGCTTGATATTAAGGTGTTAAGCGATTTTACAAAATATTTAATTTAATAATTTCATTTATATACTAAGTGTTGAGCAACTTTAAAAAATGTTCAGTTTAATCATTTTATTTATACACCAAGTTGATATTGAGTAGATTTGAGTAGTTGATATTGAGGCGAGATTAATGAAGCAGTCAATTTATTATTGGTAAATTTTCAAGATACTTAGATTTATAATATAATAAATCTATATTCCTAAAAAATGCTTTTTAAAACTTATTACTTAATGATAAATATTCACTTTTTAAAATTATTTTAAGAAATGTAATCTGATAAATGAAAATCTAACGAAGTCTATACGTAATCCTATCTGATTATCTTTCGTTCATTTATTTATTTATGTATAGCAAACATTTGCTTTTAAAGTGTAACTAACTATATTAAATTATTTTTATACATTTTTGCTATTTTTAAACAATAGTAATTCTGTTGGAAAAATGAAAACATACACTTTTCATATACATTAACATTTCGTAGGAAAATATCATATATTTCCATTATTGTTCATGAATAAATTATATTAAACCAAATTTTAAAAACTGAATGTATTTTAACAAAAATAAATACACATTCTCATTAAAAACAAATTCTGACACGTAACCTTTATCGATATATTGCAGAATTTTGAAGGAAACGTAACATATAATTAAATTTATTATCAAATACAATTTTTTTTAGATTTTTTAATATAACATTTATATAAAACATTAAGAAATATAAATAATATTGATACTCTTATATGTTACGTTCAACTTTATTAAAAGAAAAAATTTATAAACCAAGCTATTAATCACGTTTATCTGATATGTATAACGTGTTGCTAACTGATATTTAAAACTAATTCTTATATTACAATATAAACATAATCAAGTTTGTGATCAAGGAATATGTTAATTATAAATGATTGTCATTTCTACAACATCTCGATTCCATTAAAATTACTTGTAATATCAAATTAATGAAAGTACTTACCACCGGTGTTAGAATGCCAATTTTTCTCAGCCTGTTTGAGAGGTAAACAAACAGGACAGTCATTTCGTGTGCAATGTTTCCAATGACCAATAATCTGTCGCGACGAACTGCAGTGGGGCACTGTGCAGTTCTTACCAGCCTGACATGTCGACATGTGATTCAAAACATTTTTCATAGTCTTGCAATGGGGCAAATTGCACTGCCATTGCTCTCCGTTCGCTTGATTCTCACGGCGCTGACAATTATGTGCGTGCAAGAACAGGAGGAGCTGTTGTTGTATGAGTTTGCGCTTCTCTGGGTCGGCGTTCACTGGCCGCGATCCTTAATTTTTAATGGTGGTAACGAGTGGAGAAGAGACAAACAAGATAAAATAACAATAGTTAGAATTTTAAATTTGGCTGCATTGAAGTTTACTAATTTCATTTTTCTATTACTAATAAATAGTTCAGAACCTGAAGTCAAAATATAAATTCGAAAATTTTATATGATATATTAATAATGAAAATATTAATTAATTAATAGAATATATATATTATACTATTTTGTAGGTAAAAGGTGACTTTAAAATAGCACCTATATTAATTTTACAAAATAAAGTATTTCATTTAATATATACTAATATATTTATTACTTTAATAATTCTTATTATATTCAGTGAATGCGAAACCTAATTCACTCACGAAATCTAAAAATAGAACATCATAAAATTCAGATTCATTACATTCAGATGAAATTAATATTTAATCTTCGACAGATATCTAGTCTTTTTTTTAAACTGGTGTTATCAGAGTATTATCATTTTATCAAATTTCAACTTTTACGTATTCAATTTAGCATTAAAAATAAAAATATTTTTATTTCTCAATTCTCATTATCACTTACATTTCATTATATGATATAAAATTTATAATTGATTTTAAATTATAAGAAAAATTAACAAAATGTAAATTAATAAAATATCATTAGGTTATATCTCGAACTAGGTGTATTTTGATTTCATAATATATGAAGATTTATATTATCCGTCATATTTTCTAAAATTTAATTAATTAAAGTTAATAATTCTATATAATTTCGTAAATTTTATAATAAATTCAAAATTAATACAAAATATGTTTTAATTTATGAGTTAAGCTATTCATTAATAGACTAAATAAAACAAATTAATTTATATTTTTAAATAATTTTGTGTAGAAATTATTAATTGTAACTCATAAAACTTCATCAGCAACAATTATAGTATTGGAAAGTTCATATAATAAGATTTTGATGTAATTGTATAACTTATATTAAATAAATTGTTGTTAAAAATATCGCCTGCTACAAAAACACTTTCATAAAATATTACTATAAAACAAATAATTTATAATTATATTGTATTTTAATTTATTTTTATTTTGGAATAATCGAACTATTATCATTTTAATATAACTTATACAATTACATCAAAATCTTATTATATGAACTTTCCAATACTATAATTGTTGCTAAATTTAATGTAAAATATTTAGTACTCTCAATTATCGATGTTGACAATAAATTCTTTATTTTCTGAACATTTGTTTATGTAATAATTAACCTTTTTAACATACAATTTTAACTTCAACTAATTTATATTGGAAGTAAAAAAATTCATTATAAATTGTTTTAATTGCTTACTAAACCTGTTTCCTTTTGCAAATTTTATCTAAAGGTAACATTCATTATATAATAATCTAATTCCATATAAATAGCAGATATTTTTAAAAATTGAAATATAGATTGCATCACAAATTGTAAGAATATTTTATAAATTATACAGTAAATATAAAAATTTTTGTAGATGAATATTTCATTTTATATAAAATAAAGGTGAAATTACTTCAATGTAACATAATGGCCATTACAATTAGAAAAAATGTTTATTAAAATTAACTTAAATGGATTTTTTATACACAAATCGTATGGAGACTATATTTCAAATAAGTTAGTTTTGATATATGATAATTTAATTTCAAGTGAAAACTATCTTAATGCAATAATGAACATTTATTTACATTTTTATATTAAATATAGGTTATAATAATAAAAAGTATTAAAAATGTATACTATGAAAAAATTCCCTCGTATCTAATAAGAACACATAGTATAAATTAAATAAATTTGGATACATATTTATTTGTCAGTCGGATCTTCGTCTATTAAAATTCCAGTTTTATGAAATATATTATGATATTAAGTAAATAATATCCAATTTGAGTAAATCTTTAATATAATTATATTACTTTGATATGCACACAATAATAAATATAACGTAAAAATAAAACAAAAAAGTTTAATATCGATTTTTTTAATATAGAATAAAAAATGTCCTATAATTAACAAATTTGTGATTTGTAATTAATCAATATAATGATAAATAACAAATAAAAAATAAAAATGAAGCAATTATTAACATACTTGGCTGGGCGACTGTACCAGGTACTTGGGCCTGCGTCGCTTGTTGGGGCCCGGGTTGACCACCACTAGGCGCTCCGCTTTGGGGCTGCGCAGGACTTGGCGCTGGTGGTTGAGCTTGCTGGGCCATGCCACCTTCTTGGGCGCCGGATACACTAACTCCGGTACCACCAAGAGGTCCACCAGGCCCAGCACCGGCTCCAGATGCTGCGCCAAAACGGCCAACCTGCATTGCTGTCATACCAGCAGCGACGTTGCGTTGTTGAGGCGCAACAACACCCACGGTGTTTCCGGCTCCAACAGGCCCTGGACCACCGCCTGGTGAACCTACGTACAAATCGGCCGATGAGCTTGTAAACCTTGCCTTGTAACCATGATTTGGGCGCATTATGCCTATGAGATACAAATGAGACTTTACTTGTACCTTTTTCTTACTTACAACTTTTATTTTATTGTGTTCTGTGAATGATTTGTAAATGGTCGTTTAGAATTTATGAACAGCTTGATCAAAAATCAATCCAAGGATTTCATCATTTCAACTTATATTTTATAGATCTCGGAACTTTTGAAACATACGAATATTTCAAATATAGCATTATAATTATAACTTACAAATTTTAAAGAAAATGCAAATTAAATATTATTTTCATGGTTCATAACATATTAATTAGTAAGTATAATTCTTTATCTTCTATTTTTAATGAGTTAAAATTCAAAGCGCTATCTAAATTATTGTAAAATATTTGAAATAACCTAAAACAATAATTTATACAAACTTTTTACTTAAAGTTTGCTTTTGAAATAATAAAATTTATTATTAGTATTTATCAGGATTTTTAATATGCAGTTAAAATACATTTACAGTTTTAATATCTTTATATTCAATTTTTAAGATCTACTATTTAAAAAAATCACAATACTATCATTTTATTTTTTTCCGTTGCAACACTGAGATCTAATAAAACTTTTTACTCCTTCACTTCGACAAAAAAAAAAATTTGTTTACAGCCAATTGAAACTAATATTAAATGTATTTAAAAAATTTTGTAACTTAATTGAATAAATTTTTTATTAAAAACTTATAAAATATTCTGCTATATGTTCATACGTTTGACTTATTACCGTTTTTATTTTTATTACTCTTTAAACAAAACAGTTTTCAATTTATTTTTAATTTCTAGTTATTTTTTAGTTATTTAATTTTAACTAAAAAATTTTTAATAATGCAAAAGTGTTCATATATATAAATGTATACCTTATATACGATATACACATATTGATAATATATTGTAAATTTATGAACAGGATAATGTATAATAAAATTTAAATTTCATTCCAAAATCGATCATATAAAATTTTATTCTTTTGATTACAAATAAAAATCAACTGATTTTAAGTAGACAAACAGATTTTTAAACTAATATAAAGCTATATTCGTTTATTTAGTAGTATAAGTATACATTTTTGAACTAATATAATAAATTACTGTTTAAAGGTAAAATCTGGTTAATAAGAATGAATCATGGCACATACCATAACCATAGGGGCTGGATGCAGCAGTCAATTGTCCCAAGTTGGACATATTGGATATATTTGGTGGAGCCTGCATTCTGGGTCCACCGGGGCCTGGTACGATGCCTACTGAATGTACTTGATGAGGACTTTGACCTCTCGCCGGTCCACCTACCATATGAGCCTGTTGTTGTTGCATGGCAACAGCCCGAGCATTCATCATACCCCCTGGTCCATTTTGCATCTGAGCAACGCTGTGTTGGGCCGCAGCATGATGTATGCTTTGAGCAGTTGCCGGTCCACCCATCATCGTTACGGTATTAAGAGGTTGCTTATTGAGACTATTGGCAACAATAAGGCCGCCTCCAGCCATACCGCTCATGCTGTTATTACTGTTGCTTCCAGCAACACTCGCACCACTGCTACTTGTCATGACTAGGCCGGAATTCATGCCACTGGGATTCATTGACATGCCACCAGGATTCTGCTGTTGCTGTTGCTGTTGCTGTTGCTGACCTGAGTTTGTTTGTTGCTGCTGTTGCTGTTGCTGTATACTCATGGATGTCTGCATAGCACCTCCGCCCATTGAGTTAGCTATCGACATTTGTTGTTGGTTGTTGGCCAATGAGCTTGCTATACTACTTGGCAAATTTCCTAATGAAACTACCATCTGTGGATCCACGACGTTCTTTGTCACCGAGACGTTTGGAGGCGACTGTATATTTGGAGACTTACTGCCTAGTGTATTGCCAGCCATCACCAGAGAATTAGCTACTAGGCTCTTGTTACCTTGTTGCTAAGAATTCAAAAGGAAATATGTAACTTTAGAATTTGTTCGTGTCAACTTTTGTTCGTATTTATCATATTTACAAATGAAGAGAAATAAAATTCAAATTATTAAAAAAAAGGTCAAATTTGTTAATGATAAATGACATAATTATTAATTATGAACGGATAATAGGCTTGTAGAATAATTATTTTTATATAAGGAAATACTTCAATTAATAAAGTTTTTTAACTAAAATTAAACCATATAAAAGTATTCAAGTTAAAAAAAAACAAAATAAATATATTATTAATTGTTCTAAAATCATAGTATTTTTATAAACTTGTAATAGTAATATTACATTAAACTTCTTGCTCATAATTAAATGATCATATTAATAGTTATTTTTAAAATACTTTAACAGTTACATATATTAAAAATGTATTTTAATTAAACTAATAAATTTATTTCAATAATAAAACTGTTAGTTAGTTTACAAACATTTTTTATGAAAAACTTGGCTTTACTGGTGTTCCAAGGTTTTCGTAAAAAGTAAATACTAACCTGTTGTTGAATAATATGGTGAGAAAGCTGTTGTTGCTGTACGTGTCGTAAATCGGATTCTAATGCGCCATTTTGTTGTCCAGGTCCTGGACCCGTGGCTGGTGGTTTAGCACTTTCTGTTGCTGAACCCCAAGAGCCCGTGGATAGTAGATCGTCGGGCAGATCATTTTCAAGATCAAACATATCTGTGTTTGTCATGAAATCTGAGAATGAAAATATAGTTTTTAATTAAAAAAATTTAATATAATACTCCGTTTACCCTTTTCCCTTAGAAAAGAAAAATTAAAGAAATAATTGGTTGATTTTGAGTTTAGGAATTTTTATGTGGGATTTGTTTTATATGAACATGAAAAAATGCAACACACATTGATATGATACTATAGCTCAAAAGAATTCTTCAAAAAATTGAATAAAAATCTACTATATTAACACGATTAAAGTGTAAAATATATTAATTAATAAAATAGGCAATTTCTAATTGTATCCAAGTAAAGCTCAGGTTGTACGTTTGTCATTGCTAAAAGACTAGTTGGTGAGAAAAGGACAGATCTTGTGATAGTGCTTGATGTATTGCAAATACCGAGAACAGCATTAGTCATTTATCATGGAGATAGAGTTAATAATACCATCACCGCATTTCTTATCTAGAGCTTTAGTTATACCGTTCTCCATAATTTGTTTTTAAATTATTGCCTCTTAACTTGTAGTAACATTCATCAAAACATTTACAAAAATAAAAAATATAAAACAAACGTATGGTTTAATCAATAGTAGATCACTCCATATTTCAATTGTTTCAATTTAAAAGAATAATCAGTTTTAATAAAATTAAATAAATTTTTAGAAACCACTTGGAGTATCTTTGTCAGTATCATTGAATTAAAATGATTTAATACTGTATACACGACTGACCATATTTATAGACAGAGAAAAAAGGGACATTTAGATATAAAGGAACGCAAAAAAATACGTTAAAGTAATATATCTCGTATGAGTATAAACAAACGAGTAATAATTGTAAACAATCAATTAAAAAAAGTAAATAAAGTAGGAAATAAGACATGAGACATACACCGCACGAACAAAACTTAATGCAGTTTATGCTGCAGCGGATAAAATAACGTGATCCACAGTAAACTCGTGCTTAACTACAAAAGCTGCAAAGCTACTGATGACAAACTGTACAGAGTCACATGCGTAGAAATATAAGGTAATCAATCTAAGGACTTTCTATTGCAAACTAAAATACGATTTTTAACGTTTCTAAATTATATATAACAGTCAATAGAATAAAAAAAAATTTTTAAAATTTCATTAGCTTGATTATAGCCTACCATCACCTTTCCATTTTTTCTAAATTAAGAATTATTTATATTTAAAATTTTAATCTCATTTAAACTCTCATTTCCTAGTAATTAAATAGTGGGATTTCATTTTAATGATTAATTACATATTTTTGGTTATTGTTTATTGGTGTTTTTGTTTTACATTGTAATATAGCGTAGTACATTGTAGTTATAGTAAATGTTTTGGACATTTGAAACTATTAAACAAATATTGATAACAATTAGATCTTGTTGATTCTATTAGAAAACTATTTTTATATTTTTTCTATCGCGTAAGATTAACTGAAATAATAGCAGATATTTTTACAAATATTTTTACAAATTACAAAACACTAACCTGATAAATCCAAAAATTTCATTCCATTAATTTCGTCGAATAAATTTGAAATGCAAATACCTCTTTTATTAGTGTTTATTTAAATCGTATTAACTTCTAAATAAATTTTTTTGGCTTATACAAGATGTAAATAATAAATTATTGGCAGTGTTAATGCCGATAACAGCAAATATGTAGTTTTTACCTGGAATAGTTTGAGCATGAGATGGATATTTACTATTTAATTTTTTTTTATAAAAAAAATATTTTTGAACACTAATTTATCATTGCCAAAAAGAGAATAGAGAAACTTACAATGTTATATTAATATATCGAACACCAATTACTTGTTTAATTAAAAAATGAATTTCCTTTTATATTTGCAGTATCTTCAATATAGCATTTCTAATTCAATGTGTGTCTGCCGCATGTCTCAATGTTTAGATATGAAACTGAACCAGTGACGTTTCTCAATATTGTTGAACAACCGAAGCCACTTTTCTCCACTGCATAGTTTTGGTCAATCGCTCTTAAATAGCAATTTAAAAAATTTACGTTAAATGCAACAATTACAAAAAAATGAACAATTCATACATGTGATAGGCAGTAATTAAAGCAACCTTTTCACATACATATGTTATACATACTTACACACGCGCGCGCGCGCGCACGCACGCACACACACGTGTGTGCACAAAGAATCACACATGCTGTTACCAAGTTATTGCAGACAAGTACTTAAGACGAATCATAAGTTATTTATTTATTTAAAGGTTTACTTTATAGGAACTAACTTTTTATTGGTTGAATCTAGTAGTAGAACAGTCTGCGCGAACGATTTTTATTAATGATATTACGTGCTAATGAAGTGGAGACGGACGAAACAATTTTTGATAGTGCTCAAACAAATTTAACGCTTTTTTTTTAATATATACGGATGTAGGAGATCATTCAACATTTCAACTTTTTTATTTTACCTAGAATATTATAAAATCTTATAAAAATTGTGAAATTTTATAAAATGAAGTTATTAGTAAATAATTGATAGTTATTATTATATATTAAAATAAATCTTTAACAAGAATAAAAAAAATTTTATGCAAATAATACCAAAAATATATTTATAAACTTTTCTTACTATTTCTATGAAATACAAATATAAGTATTTAAAAATAGTAAAAATTATTAAAGTAAAAGTGTAAAAGTTGAATTATTGTGGAAGTAGAAACCAGTCGAAATTCTCTGATCCTAATTTATAATACATTTAATTTTAGTTCTCGTTTGAACATCACTTTTCTTTTTCAATAATATTTACTTCTTTTTTGCGTAGTATGACTGTGGTTGTTCCAAAGTGGCTGCATTTGAAGGTGTTGTAGATGTAGCGGTTGCTGCTGTTGTACATGTAGCTGCATTTGTTGCATGTTACCACTGCCACCTCCCCCGTAGTTTGTATAAGAATGGTGCATCATTAGAGGCGCCATACCCACTACATATACATCACAGTTCATGATTTAAGACTGTGCAAGTGTATTACCGATGCTTTTTTTCATATAACCATTTAGTTTTGTTTACTTAAGTACGGCGCAACTAAGTCGCAGAAACTGTCAAACTACAGGATATTTACTTAGCTTAATGCACTAATCTAAAATCTACTTTTATTAAGTTTCTGCCCTTTTCTTTTAATTATTTAATATATACGTATTTATATGTATATGTATGCATCAGGACAATTCACTAAGAATAAATTATAAAATATAAATACTGTTGGCAGCATGGTATCAATATCAATACGAAGCCTACATTTTTTTAAAACATAATCTTAAATATATTGTAATTATTTAAATATATTGTAAATATATTTAAGTAAAGAAGGTTTCTTATGAATATTTTTATATTTGGATTTAATAGTTAAATTATATTGATAAAATGTTGAAATATTTATTTTAAATGCAAATATTAGCTATATTTGTTTAATGTTTTTTTTTCAATTTTAAAAATTTATCTTACATGAATTACACGAATTCATACATATATATTTGTAAAACTATACCATCACCATTCCGTCAATCGAGAATGCAGCAACAAGGCATTCTGGGTTTCTGCGACTTACTTGCAGGTTTTATATACGATACACGCATAAGTTCATCGATTGACGGATTAATTTTTTATATATTTATATTCCCTTGCTGCCAAATAGAGCGATTAAGAGATCTAGACCTTGAGAATTATACTAAAAAATAAATAAAAGAGCATTTTAAAAGAGCAAAATATATTCAACTATAAATTTGGTTAGTACATAACACATGCAGATTATATTTATTTTTTCAACATTTTTTCGAGTATTCATGCGTAACAACATGCACTATTGAATTAATAAATTACAAATAAAAAAATATAAAACGCAAAATGTGTGCATAGATAAAAATTAATTTGTGAAGAACTTTTAAAAGTCTATCAAATATTTATAAAATTTGTGTATAATTTTAGTCTAGTCAACTTAGTATTTGAAAAAAATAATAAAATTAAAGTAAATTTATCTTAATAAGATCTCCAACACAACAAAATTTTATCAATCTGAATGTTAATTAGATATAAAATAAAACATTAGAAAGTATAATATTCCTAATAATAAATTTTTATACATACGAAATCTATAAACATAAATAAACTATGTTCAATTCTATTCAACACTGTGGTAAATTTTACTAATTAAATATGATTAAGTTAAGAAGAAGATATATATTATGTAAAAGTTTATATTTTGGTAACATCATTTTTATATAATACCAGTAATACATTATTAAATTAAATTATTTTATTGAAAATTAAAATAAAAAACTAAAAACACATTGGAAGAAGAAATCAGTTCATTATTTATAATTAAAACATTTATTGAACTATCAGAATTTATGCATTAAAATTTTGAATACTGATATAAATATAATGTAATTTAAAAATACTATGTATATTAATTAAATTTAAAAAATGTTTATATTAAATTTCATTGATCAATCTTTAATTATTTAAATATTACAAATAATAATTAAACGAAAATGATATGTTTTATATATCTCAATTTTAATTTCATACATTGCTTCTCTCATATCTTTAAATATAAACAATCAAAACATGTTTAGACAGTACTATTAAATAAATATTTTTATGCAATTCTTATTGAATTCTAATGCTCAAATTTAAAATTCAAAGTAAAAGGTCTGGATCAAAAAAATAAGATTTATTATAAGCAATATAATAAGAAATTATTACCATGTTATATTGTTCTAAGTTCAAAGTATAATATTTAGACAGTTCCAAAGCACAGCAATTTAATATATTAAAATTAACGATATGTATATATCAAATATATTTTGATATAACAATATGTATATATTGTTTTAATTATATTTAAATTTTAAAATATATATATATCAAAACTAACAATATGTATAGTGAATTAATTTCCAAATTAATATAAGGCGGCACCATATGCTTCCCTATTGTTGGATGTCATAATGAACTTAAATTAACCTTTAAATAAATACATATAAAAGTTTTTTATTCTAAGTAAAAAAGGAAAAATTCAGTTTTTAATGAAAACATATTAAATAACTTATATTTCTGACCTTTTGAAACCTTGAATCTTCACTTAAATCTAATAATTTTATTCTAAAAATAAATTTCCCAGATCAAATTCTCAGATAATATATATAATTACAAATTGTTCCAAATATTTATACGATTACAAATAAACTTTGATTATAAAACGATAAACGGTAAAGCTTCATATTGTATTCACATATTTAAATTTAATAATAGTTACTTTTTAAATTTTTTTATAATTTAATCAATGTAACATAATTATTAGAATTTTTACTCTGTTATATTAATGTTGTTTGTACAAGAATTAAAGGGAAAACAACAATTCATATTTTGAAAATAAAAGTTTAGTAAGAACACTTCATGAACAAGGATGGACATCAAATGCCACGATATCATTGAAAACTAAAATAAAATAGTATAATCAATGAGAAGCTTCGGTCTAAGTGAAAAAAAGAAAAAAAAATGGATCCTCGAAGAAGACGATAGCAAAGGTATACGCCATAGTGGTGCTACTGCGTGCGCGTAGGCGGCTTGCGACTAGGAAAGAGAAAGAGCAACACACACTTACACATCTATATGCGTTCAAGCAAGTAACAGCAGCACCGCCGCGGCAACATGTCAGAGTTCGCGCGTGCCGTGTCGTCTTTCTCTCTTGTCTCCTATACAACCGCATAGAGACCGGAGCGATCACCGATTTCTTTGTTCAATCGTTGTTTTACCTATTATTTTGATCCTTTCTCTCTCTCTCTCTCCCTTGCATGCACTTTTAATAGCAATGCGGCTGGTAAGTATTTATTTATGCTTTGAGGAAATTTGCTCGCCAAGGTAAAAATGAAGCACAAGACGAAATAGGGATAAAAGCGAAAAAGAAGGAAATAGGTCAGGCGCAGTATGGCCACACGAAGAAAATATGTAATACTGCTATCGCTAGCACCAGTGATAATGACGATGACGACGACGACGTCAACAACTTTTCATCCACGACACGAGGGTTGATTTTAAAGCTTGTTTTTTAGACACATATGCACGTAGGATCCTTATTTAAACCTTTTAATGCATAGTTTTCCTGCTAAGTTTTTGGAATTACACTTTTATTTCAAATTATTATAAAACTGTTTTGTTTATAAGATACTATTTTTTATATTTCATATTATTAAATTTATATATATATATATATATATATATATATATATATATATATATATATATATATATAACAAAATACACAATTAAT